GGTCAGGTGCCATGGAGGAGTGAGCATCCCCCGCCGTGTGCTCCTTGTCATGATCGGGAAATAACGGAAAAAATACACTACATTTCTTTAAAATTTCATCCAGAGGTGGGTTTTCATGTACCTTTTTCTTCCTTTCTTTCTTTTATATTTTTATTATTATTCTTACTCATGTACTGATGAAACATTTATTCTGAATAAGTGCCGTAAGATGTATCATGTAATATTTTTTTCTCCTCAAAATAGTTATGCATCGTCAATTTTAATCTAGAAAGTGCTACAGCTGATATTGACATTGCTTATTGATAATTTTTGACCATTTAGTTCCGCAAGTAAGTTGATTTAACTCTGCCTACTAAGTCTGCTGCGTCTGTTGAGACTGCTAGGATTGCCTTTGGGATTATATTCCTAAATGTTGCTTCCTCTTTCTGGTATCTTCTCTGGGAGTGAATTTTAGCTACAGATTCAAGTGAGCTTTTCTGGTCACCTCTCGTTCGTCTACTGTCTGTCAACTTTTCATATTTTTGATTCTCGGCAGAAACGTAAGACAACAAACAGACAATTATCAATCTCATTTTCTTCATGAAACACCAGTCCATCTTCAAACAAACTTACCACAAAACATCCTTGGGTAAAAGGGATTCAAGTGTGTTAAATAAAAGGGTCGTGTTATATTCCCTTTAAAGGGGAGATAATCAAGGGAAAATAGGGTGGCTATCTTTAAAATTCTTCTCAAGAACAACATGGCCAAAAAATTATGAAACATAAGTATGTGAAAGATTCCTGACGGTGTGGATTCATATTTGTTCAAATTAAAGATACAAGGATAGGATGGGGCACAATGGGGTATTGAATTTTTACATATGAAAATATAGATAAAAATAATATAGGACAAAAATATATCTTAAAATATCCTCATCTCAAGAGCAACAGTGCCATGCTTAGTCATAATTTTAACTAGTTATAATTGTAACGGGGACCGTTACAGATGTTCCCCAAACGCTCCCCAACCTCCTTTTGGTGTCTAAGTTTCATTAAATAAGGCAATCAAGTACATTGGTTGTTTTACGCATTACACGAGTGCGCACGTGCATGCACGTGCATGCTGACCATATCATCTTGTCTATACTATTAATACATCTTTATATTCTGAGTGTCAAAACATTTCATCAAAAAATGTTTTAAGTTATGGCTATATCAGGTATATGAGTCATTTTAGAATTTCATGCTTGCGCAAGTGCATGCAAGTGCAGGATGACCACGCCATTTTGTCTATATTATCAATATATCTTAATATAATGAGTATCAAAGCATTTCATAAAATATTATAACTGTTACAGCTAAATCAAGTATAGGTCATTTTAGCATTGCATGCACGCGCGTGCATGCATGTGCGTGTTGACCATATCATCTTGTCTACACTATTAATATATTTCTATATAATGAATATTAAATCACTTCATCGAAAAGTATTATAGTTACGGTTATATAAGTGTATAGGTTATTTTAGCATTGCATGCGAGCGCACGTGCATGCATGTACATGTGACCAAACTATCTTGTCTACACTATTAATATCTCTCTATATTATAAGTATTGAAGCATTTCATCAAAAAGTATAAAAGTTGCAGCTATATCAAATTTATAGGTCATTTTAGCATTGCACTCGCGCGCACGTGCATGCATGTGCATGTTAACCATATCATCTTTTCTACACTCTTAGTATCTCTCTATAGTGTAAGTATCAAAGCATTTCATCAAAAAGTAAAGAAGTTACGGCTATATCAATTATATTGGTCATTTTTCGCATTGCACGTGCGCGCACGCGCATTCATGGTCTTGCGTTCAATTTTGATAGTAGCATAATGTAGGATTCCATTATACCTATTTATATTCTAAATTTCATCCTGTTTTGTTGAGAACCAAGAGAGATATAGCCATTTAAAGTTTAAGCCAATCAGATTGCAGATCACGCGCATGCGCGTGTTTTCATGATAATTCTTATATACTATATTGTAGGACCTTCTAATGTATGACTATGTTTTAAATTTCAAAGTATTTTGTCAAAAAACAAGGAAGATATTGAGACTTTTGTTTCAGCCAATCAGAGCAAAGCGCACGTGCATGCGCGTGAGTTCATGCTAATTCAACCATTTCATCTTGTTTACTCTACTAATATATACTTATGTTATGAGTTTCAAAGCATTTTTTAAAAAAATGTAAAAGTTACGGCTATATAAATTATGTCAGTCATTTCACTCATTGCACGCGCCCGCACGTGCATGCATGTGCGCGCAAAATGACCTTCGTTCCGCACATCTACACAACATACCTATTAACCCTAAAAAGGTTTTAACTCAATTGGATGAGCAGTTTCCGAGAACACTCGCGGAACAAAAAGTACCGGAGAAGAAATAAGAATAAAAAAGAATAATAATAATAATAATAATAATAATAAGAAACAGAGTAAAAACAATATGTTCCCAAACTCCGTTTGGGGAACATAATTAATGTGTAAACATCCTCAAGGAGTGCATATTCATTTTTCTTTTAAAAAAAGTAACTGTCGAGGTTAGAATGGGATCCTGATGGTTCATGAAAATTTTACATGGGAATGTATTGGTAACAAAAACTTCAAAGTCTTCTTCTCGAGAGCAAAAATGCTATGGTTAGTCATAGAATATGTGAGCATCCTCGAATATTTCTTCAAATCATGACCCATGGAGTAGGATGGGGACAATTAAGGGGTCATAGTTTTAGACGGGAATATGTTAGAAAAATCTGAAGAAGAATAGCTATACAATAGTTTGTCTTATGAATATGTAACTATCGTCAGCAAATGCTGAATTGATTTTTTTTTCAAATTATGGCCACGGGAAATAGAATGGGGCCACAGTGGAGGATTAAAGTTTTATGGGAATATATACGAAGAAATTTTAGAAAATCTTCTCTTAAACAGAAGTGCCATGGTTAGTCAAATGAATATGCAGGCATCCCCAGGGATAGGGATAGAACCACAACTGGGGGTCAAAATTGAAGATTGAAAATATAGAAAAATCTTTATTTTTTCGCAAGAAAATCAGGACAATGATTAGAAATATTATAATGCAAACAACCCAAAATCTAGCATATTCAAATTTAATCCACAGGGGTAAGCTGGGGCCAGAATAAGAGATATAATTTTAACATCTGAATAAAAGGAAATTAAAAAAAGATAGTAGCAGGGCTACATGAAATTATATGGACATGGGAAAAAAAGTCCCAAGTTGTGTGGTTTGACTTTCTTTCAGTTACAGTGTGTAGCCTTGGGTTAAGGTGGTGCTAAAATTGGGGATTAAAGTTTACATTATGCACATACATGAAAACAGGAAAAATTTTAAAAATTCATTACTTGAACAGTCGGACCAAATTAGTCATATTGAAGCATCCCTATGTTGTGAAGATTCAAATTCCACTAAAACTTCTCATGTAAATAAGAGAGAAATCTTTTAATAATCTTCTGAAGAACAACAGGACTAAGGCAATTCGGGTGAGATTGTTGCTGTTGACCTCTTGTTTATCAATTTGTGTCTGGTTTGTGCTTTATATATTTTCATAACTGAGATATAGTTATAATGAAAACACTCTATTTGAAGACACTAATCACAAGTGCGATAATTTCATATCAACAGAACAACAAAATGCTGTATGAACCAAAGAGTAAAAGGGAATGATTGTCAAGGTATTGTGTAAACATTTTTATTTTAGTATTTTAAAAGCTACGTGGAAAAGTATGAAAAGAGTTTTTTTCCTTGGAACTATTTAACATTGATAATTAAGCCTTGTACAAGTAAAAGTTGTATGGAAATAATTTTAGCAAACCAAATAAAACTGGGGTATATGAATCTAATTATTTTAAATTTTCAGATTGTTGGAATGGAACTTATGGGACTGACTGTGTACATAAATGTTCCAAAAACCGCTATGGACGATTCTGTTTAAACAGATGCAACTGTACAGGAAATGAGACATGTCATTATGCCAATGGGTGCAACATTGATATGAGTATGAAGTTTATTTCTCTTAATTTATAGCATAGAATGTGTTACTCTTGAAAAGTACATGTTTATTAAATGACTAGAATTAGAAAAACTCTATATGGATTCAGGATGTGCGCATGACCGTGGAGTTGAAAAAGGAACATATGAATTGGTAATAAAAATTATAATATTGATCAGAAAATTCCTCTAGAAGAAACAAAAGAAAATGTGTATAATGTAACGTATAGAAGATGACTTACATGTGTGTGTGTGATATTTCCAAGCTCAACAAGAACTTTATCTATTTCACAAATAATGATAAAATTTGGTTGAAGATGAATGAAGACAGGACAGTAAATTATATCTAATTAAAAATTTCAGAAAAAGCGATGATGTCATAAAATCACATAGAAGCATCTTGCTTTTTTTTTTTTCACATGTTTATATCACAAATACATAATATAGGTTATGATTTATTCACCGGTCACGAGTAATTGTAATGCATGACAAATCTGTTTTCTGAAGGAGAGGGAGATCTTGGAAGAGAATATGATGGTTCGCTTGGAAGAGAAGATGATGGTTCGCTTTGGATTAAAATTCCTGGGATTAGTCTTGGAGTTATCGTTATCCTACTCATCGCAAGCTGTATCCTAATAAGGCAAACTCATTTAAAGAATAAATTAACTTTTAGAAAAAAAGCACTATTACTTATTAACATAAAAACAATATTATCTACGTTATTATAAAGCCGTTACTATTTTACATCAAGATATAAACAAATTTCAATGATTGGTATTTTTGGGAATATTATGTAGATCCTAAAAAAAGAAAGAAAATTTACGGTAAATTTCAACTCAAGAATATATGCAACTATTGCTATTTGGCGAAAAAATTCAATCTATGAAAATATTTTCTATTCCACGTATACGAGGGCTATTTTGCCATTTTTCTTATATTTTACAATTTATTTCCTGTTACAGGATCAAAATGCGCCAAGAGAGGAAATGGGGTCGCTTTGTCCAAGGTAAATATTGAATGCAATAAATAGTCCTTTACTTATAAAAAATTAAGTGGAATTCAAATATGAACACGATAAGGAACTATATCACCAGTTTTCCCCTTCCTGTTTTTTTTATTTTTTTTTTTATTTTTTCATTTTTTTGGGGGGGGGGGGGGGGCTGTGTGTGTGTTTTGGCAATGGATATTACAACACCCTTTGTATTTCAGGAAAAAAAATTAATAGAAGTTGCATACCGGGAATCAAAAAAATCCATACAATTAATATTTATAATAAAAAACATACTAGGTTTATTATTGCAGATAATATTCTTTAATGTCAGAATACTATCAAAGCTCCAAATATGATAAAATGATTTTAATTTTAAGGAAACGCTGCCTTTCTTTGATATATTATATTATTAAGAATTCAGGTACCATAATTTAGATATGGCACCTAATCCAACTGAATTTGGACTGCTTATGCTATCATTTTCCTTATTTTGTGCTATTCAAATTAACAGCAAATGAGAACATGGAAAAGAAAGCAATATAGTAACAATTAAACTTTATGATAAACGTGATGACTTCAACTTTTCCATCGTTAACTTCCCTTAATTAATGTATAGCAATATAACGTTATTCCTTTTTTTAAATAGCAATATACCACTATCTCCTATATGTCTATTAAACGTTTTGATACGCAAAAGCATGTTTTACGTATGAACAATATATAAAAAATGGTAAGCTACTGACAAATAATTTGATGATACAAGGATATAAACAGTTTCGTTTAAAGTCATCATTTCGCAAACTTTATGGTCGATACAATGATCTTGTCAGAAAATACAATTTATCATTACATAGAATGAAATATATGGAGATAACGAACAGTATTCAAGCTCAAAAGTCCATTAAACAATACAAAATAGGAGCAGAGCAAACACGGACCTCCAAAACATCATAGGTAGAATCAGGTGCCATGGAGGATAAAATTAATGGAGGATAGAATTATTTTCACACTGATTTATCTACGAATTTTTCTGTTTGCCCGATCATGACAAGGAGCACACGACAGGTGTGACCTGTCAGCAGGATATGCTTACTCCTCCATGGCACCTGATCCCACCACTGACATTTTTTAGAGACCCGTGTCTGCTCTGATCCTAATTCTTCCTGTCCCAATGGACATTTGAACGTCATTATTGTTTGTTATCTTTTTTAAAAGAGAATAGTCGCCCTTTCTTAATTTCATTTCTCATTTACTATATAGTTTAATTGCTCTAAATGATCAATCAAGAGCCCATCAATTCCTAATTTCTATTACTTTCTCCTACTATACGAGGATTGTCCAAAAAGTTTGTGGATATATGGTTTTTTCTTTCTTTATAATGACTACACTGCCAAGTGTTTACGATAAAATATTAATATAGACAAAAATAAGTTTAATATCCATGCCAATCTTGATGATGTTGAACGTAATTTTAATGTTGAACGTAATTAAAATAAAAGTATCAAACAGTGTTAATATACATTTTTACAAAAAAAAAAAAAAAAAAAAAAAAAAAAAAAAAAAAGAAGAACGATTTTGTGATATTTTTAAGAAAAAGGGTCCATTCTCTATTGCCCACGTGCACTTGTCCGACTATGGTCGATACAATGACTTTTTTTGCAAATACAATCTGGCGTTGAGTTGAATGTTGATTGACGTCTTTCATACAAATTATTTTCATATTGAATTGACTAAGGATTTCTCTGTTTCCCCCGATTATGACATAAGGCAGTCGACGCTGTGACAAGTCAACAGGGGATGCTCAATCCTCCATGGCAACTGACCCCCCATCTCTGGTATTTTCAGAGGTGAGCCTTTGCTCTGCTCACATCATATCATCATATCGACGACGTTTTATCAATTAACAAAAGTTACTTTCTTTCTTATGTCGACTGGATATCTCCCAGTATACTTGAAATAAAAGATACCAAAGAGTCTGACACACCTGTTTCATATTTGGATATTTTACTAGAAAAGTACGTTAATGGTAACCTAACGACAAAACTTAATGATAAACGTGATGACTTCAATTTTTCTATCATCAACTTCCCTAACTTATGTAGCAATATACCCTTATCACCTGCGTATGGGGTTTATATCTCCCAGTTGACTTGATACGCAAAGCATACTTCACGTACGATCCATTTCTAAAACGAGGCAAGCTATTAACCAACAAGTTGATGGAACAAGGATATCAACAGTCTCGTTGGAAGTCATCATTTCGCAAGTTCTAGGGTCGATACAATGACCATTTCAGCGAATACAGTCTATCATTAAGTCAAATTCTGACTGACGTTTTTATACCTATTGTTAGGCCACTATTTAAACACTGAATTGTCTACGGATTTTCCGTTTGCCCAATCATGATAGTGAATACACGGCGGATGTAACCGGTCGATAGGGGATGCTTACGCCTCCATGGCACTTGATCCCATCTTTGAAGTTTCAAGTAATTTGTCTGTCTGAATTCTTAACCCTTATTGTTATCATACTATACTAATATCTGTCTGTTTTGATTAAACAATAATTAGACATATATTGATCATTCAATTAAAAAAAATGTCTTTGTCCACGAACAAATGGACATCCCTCTTATATTTTAAAAATTTCTTACTTCATTTTTTTCAGGGAATCCATTATCGTCAAATTTACATGCAGGCGCAAGTGTGACCACGTTATTATCGACGGCCTCTTCTAGAAACGAAGACAAACCAAAAGTAACTGTTTCTGAGTATCCAACCCTGAAAATTTCACAGGACCGCGATAAATGTTTTGATTCATATAATACCATAATGAGAGATGAATCAGATTTTCAACAAAACAGAAGATCTATACCAATATTTTTTACAAGTAATACAGATAGAAATAAGATGAAGTCTTCTACGTTACCAGATTCAAGACTACATTCAAACATCCATCGCAGTAGTCGTGATAATGCTAAACGGGACAAAAAGCAAGAGAAACACACTAAAAAGGGCCTTCGAAGTTTTGAAAATGATATCGATCAACGTGTGCTACATACAGTAGAAAGCGCGGAGGATTTTTCTTTTCAGAAACATATGACAGTCAGATCTCAGGATACCAGATCACAGGATACTAACCCAGTGAGATACAGTCTTGTGCAAAATGTGATATCCAGACCACAGGATCCCGAGTCTAAATCGAAACAAAGCGCAGTGAGATACAGTCTCGTGAAAAATGTTTCTGAGAATTTTTCTCTCAACAATTAATAATATCTTCGTTTAAAAAGTGTTTATATTTTGCGAACGGTAATACTGTCGAGAAGAGACATAAAAATGTCACATAACTTTTTCAATTTTGATTCAGAAAGTGATTATTTTGTCCTTGTCTAAGCATATACAAGAGGTTAATAAAGGATTTCTATCTATATATGAGGACCCTAGATTTTTGTTACATTGGAAGAATTGTTATATCGATATATAGTAAAAAAAAATTGAAGATAAAGAATACGTTTAGTAATTGAGAAACAGTTTACGTAAACAATGATAACTTTTAAAGAAATTTATGTAATTTTCTGGAAACATGATACAACATGTGTTTGGATTAAGAAGATATTTCTAAGTTTATTGTATTATTATAAAGTCACATCAAAGGCAAAAACAATGGTACATGAAAAGTTCAATGGCTGTAGGTTTCGGTGTCAAGACGGTTAAAGCTCACTTAGCATAGTTATTTCATAAAATAGGTTCGGAGCTAAGATGGTAAAAGCTCTGGTTCAAACTCGAAGCTAAGATGTTACAAACCTATTGATATTCAATGTGAACATAATTTGCACGAAAACCTGCATCATAGGGATCACGTATTTGGTAATAGCAATTAGTAAGTTAGAGTGTCACTTCATTAATATTAAAAAGCCTCCCCCCTCCCCATCACTGAAGCTCTGTCTCTCATATCCTTATAGGATAAGGTACCTCTTTTTACATTCACATTCTTCACTTAATTAGATGGTTGCAGCGTTGCACAAAGTCTGATTGGAAAGTATCAATTTTCGAGAACAACACATGGTTAAAAACTACCTGTCCATCAAACTAAGATGCTCTTATCTGTATCCATTAAAACAATTTCACAATTATGAGGTTATAGTCCGTCGCTCTACACACCAGTAGTATAAATTATAATTCGTAACATGATATTTTAACATTACTAAGTGCACTTTAAAAAATCATCAATAAAAATAATAATTGTGTTACATTAGTCGCTCAACCTTTTTCACGAATAACATTTTTGTAGGATAAGCATGCTATAAATGGAGTTTTTACAGAACTTTTTCCTGCGTTGAGAATCATTAACAATGGAGTTCCTTCCATGGAACTTTAAGTCGTTGACATAATTTGAGAAATGTTCTTTTTTCAGCGCAAAATGTCTTCATTTGGGTTTTATATAAAGATTGTTTTCATACCATGGAAGTGTAGCAACAGCTTAACGTCTATAAGAAGTGTTTAATTTTTGAGCTATGGTGCATATACAAATCGCTAATACATGTACTAATAACTACAGATCAATCTTTAAGATGGTATAAACAGCTTTGTATTAAGTAACTCTTCTCCTAAAACTTAAGAAGTGAGCCCTCTGTATTGATCAGGTAGAAGGAAATATCCGTAGTCAATTCAGTACAAAAACAAAGGCCTAACAATTGGCATGAAACAAATCAGCCAAATGCGACCAAATGATAGGTTATATTTTCTAACAAGGTCATTACAACGACCATAGAATTTACGAAGTGCTGACTTTAAACGATGCTGTTGAAATCCCTGTAACATCAACTTATCAGTGAGTAGCCTGTCTCGCTTTAAAAATTGATCGTTCTCAGAGCAAGCTCTTGAGTAGAGAATAAGTTGGGAGACATAAACACCATAAGCAGGTGATAGTGGAATGTTATTACATAAATAAGGAAAGTTGACTATGGAAAAGTCATCTCGTTTGTCATACAATTAAGTTGTTAATTTGCCTTTATCGTCTATAGTCACTTTCTAAATATCTAAAATATCTAAATACGAAACAAGTGGCAGACTCTGTTTAAAGTTCACTGGGATATATCGAGTCGACATACGAATGAAAATAACTATTGTTAATGGATAAAGCATCGTCGATGTATCTGAATGTCGAATTGCACAAGATGAAACACTTCCTTTAAGTTTGGCTTAATGGTGGCTTATAGGTCCTTAATGGTGGTTTAATGGTTGTCTTTAAGTCACCATTAAGCACTTTTAAGCTACATTTAAGTAATAAATACACCACCATTAAGTAACCATTAAGCCATCTCAAAGTCCTTAATGGATGCTTAAAGGTAGCTTAATGGTGGCTTAATGGTGGCTTATAGGTGCTTAATGGTAGCTTCTAGACAATCATTAAGTCACCATTAAGCCACCATTAAGCCAGACTTATAGGTGCTTAATGTCCAAACTCCATTAAGCTACCATTAAACAACCTTTAAGCCACCATTAAGTCACCATTACGCAGTCGATAAAACTGCTTTTACGGGTTAAATATTATTTTTATAATGATTTCTTCACAAAAATTATAAACGTCGAGTTTATACATTTGTTAATTCAGCGAAAATAATGTAAAAGAAAGAAAATTTAAAAAAAAAAACAAATTAAAAAAAAAAAAAGCATTCTCGACAGGATTCGATCCCACGACCTTGAGATTGGAGGGCGAATGCTTTAACTACTGAGCTATCGAAGCTGTTGATATCGAAGTGAAATATAAAGCCTTTATTTTTAACAAAACTTGTTTGGAATGGTTACAGGTAACGTACATGTATTTTTTTTTATGTTTATATTTATTAATCAATAATACGAATAATTATATTTATATATATGTATATATTTTAAAAAAGACATTTTGATAAAGTTTTATATTACGTTAATATTTCTTAACCGTGGACCGGAGTTCGGTGTGATGGTGTGAAACAACTTTTTGATTTTAAGTAACTGAATTCCTCGTTCTATTATTCGCCGATTTATAAGCATGAAAAGATTGAAATTCCACAGATATAACAAAATTTTGTTATTAAAAAGGAATATATCATCGAAAGAGAACGATTGGGGAAAAAAAAAACAGATTATACTTTATATAAATATGCTGCGGATATTTACGATTTTTGACGATCTTTGCGTAACAATTAAGCTATAAAATATTTTTATAACATATCTTCAGTTTTAATTCTTTTTATATCATTATGGGTATCAAAATAATTGTCTTTTTGTGTACAATCATAATTTCTAATTTGTTATATGCTTGCGTAAATTTTAAGTTTTGTAAAAAATAGATCATCAAAATCTATCACTGTACATTCCCGTGTATAGTTTCCTGTTAATTGACTGGGGACGGATGGGGACACCTAATTAAGGTCTATTGTCTAACTAGTCGATATACTGTACACTGATTATTTTACCCCGCTTCTCAATGTGTATAAATCTGGTCGGATACCCTTTTTAATCTGATCGGCTGTTGTTCTGAAAATTGATTTTGAAATAACAATCATTGAAGACCGACTATATTTTGATAAATTCTTACTTCTGCATTATTTTAAATAAATTCTTACTTCCGCATTATTTTAAATAAATTCTTACTTCTGCAGTATTTTAAAAGAAAGGAAAAAATAATGGCACTTAACCACGAATTATTTCAAATTATTCATGAATTAATTCAAAGATTGGCAATATAATCTAAACCTATATATTTTTTTATATCTTAAACTTTTCTCTACCCAAAGAAAAATTATGAGACAGAGATATTCCAGAAGAAAATGATTCTAATTACATTTCCTATGAATTCGGCAGTGGGACGTGGCTCTCCAAACACGAAAGAAAAATATGTGATTTTTTTTTAAAAATTAATATATATTATGTATTTATGGATAAAAATAATTTTAAAACAAGTATTCAAACAAACTGATTTTAGGGAGCGAAAATTTTAAGGCATTTGATGAAGCTGTTCTCAGTTCCCGAGTTTATACGCATTGACATAGATGTTAGAAATAGCGAGAAAAAAATTATGAATTGAATAAGTATTTGTGGAAATGATACTGAAACAACTTCAAACTTAACAAGTTAGTTTAAAGACTTGATACTGGATGCGTTAAGGTGGTTTAATTAAGTTTGGACATTAAATCACCATTAAGCCGCAGCTTAAAGGTGGCTTAATGGTAGCTTAATGAAGTTTGGACATTAAGCACCTAGAAGCTGCAGCTTAATGGTGGCTTAATGGTGGCTTAAAGGAATTAACTTCTATAAGCCACCATTAAGCTACCATTAAGCCACCATTAAGCGATTGCTTAAAGATGGTCTTTCGTCCTGTGTTGAAAGCCACAGCTAGTGTTTTCCTTTAGTGTTTTTTAATAAATTCTTCTTCATAGGAATATTAAAAGGGTCAGCTAATAAGGAGAACAATTAGTGCCCATCGAAATTCCAACAGTTTGTTGGAAAACTAAGTCTCCGAACAAAAATGTTGTCAATGAAGAACTCCAGCATCCTTTTCATATCAACTTCAGAGTACTAGTATATACAATCAGAGTGGTTTTAACGAAGTAATTTTCCTGATGACCAATCAAAAGATGTGAAATTTTCTAGGTCCGTTTTTATTTAAATTGTCTATGATATCAAGACATCTAGATTTTAATTTATCGTGAGGAATAATTGTATAAAGCGTAGGAAAGTCTTTGATGTTATAAAGTTATGAAAAATTTGGTGATTTTAAAATGCCTAAAATTTCTTTCGAGTTTTGGAGGACCCACATCTGATTTACACCACTAGAATAAGCTGTAGCACAGCATGTCTGAAGTTTCTCCTTTACAGCATTAACATTTTTGTAAGGAGTAAAGATAAGGGCTAGGTAGAGCATTTGCTGGATCCAGCAATGTATCTTCTTGGTTTGTAATGATTTTTATAAAGTTTAGAAATCCAGTACAGTTGGGATAGATCAAACTCACCTTGGTTGACTGGTATATTAATTAAATGTATCAAACACTGAAATATGATTTTAAAGATTTTTTTTTCTTTAGAATGTGAACTGTGAGTATGTGTAGGATTTCCATACTTAGAATTAAAACCAAGTTCTTACAAATACAATTATAATGAGCCTTACAAACAAAGACAATATTGTTATCAGCCTTGTCTGCTGGAACCATAACATATTTTTCGTGTAGTCGCTCTGGCTCATTCATCACTTCCGGTTTCTTAAAAACAGAAGGATAGTTGGTTAGCATTTTACCTTTTAATTTTCTAATACGAAGAGGCCTTCATGTATTAAAGATGTAATTATTGCATAAAAGGAGCAATTAATTACATGTATGAGAAGAAATAATTTCAACGATGAAT